ACTTTGCTCATCAACAGGCTGCGGAAATTGTTTTGTACACCATATACTACTAACGCTTTTGGAAGTAGTCGGCTTAGTTTCAGTTATCACCAGTAGGCCTGTTTCAATGTATGCTGAATCTAAATGCTCTACTGAAAGGTCTTCAATGAACTGAATTGTGTGAAGGAAACTGAAGTAAACATTTTCACTTTTCCCATCCAGTGATCATTTCTACTGGCCAAATCATTACCGAATAGTCTTTTATCACTTATCTCGATTTCTCATTAATTATACTGTTTTTGTCGACTAGTATTTCGAAGGTGAGCTGCAGTAGTGTAACAGTAGGAAAGTCAGTCTAGTCCTAAGGATAACATTGGTCACTGTCGAATCACAGCACTCCAAGTACCTATATGTTGTCCACAATAATAAATTAAAGGTAGATTTAAACAAACTATAATTCTCTGGTTGATAATATTAGTAGCCAAATGTTCATTTTCGACACGCCAGTTAGTTACCTTGTACTAGTGACCAATATCTATGGTCGATTAGATCACTTCATTGATGGTTGTATTCAAGTTTGTATAATTATTTGATATTTGAGTCGTCACCGTTATCTTTTAGAATTTCTTTACGTTCACAGTGGAACATAGGGCTTCAATCTAGAGGTTTGAAGTGTCAGTAGCAGTGGTTTTATTTTCAATGTTATCTTAATTATGTCCATCATCTCTACTACGTTTTTGGCAATGGGATGATTTACAGAGAAGTCCTCTTCCATATCTTCTTATAAACAATCGATTTACTGCTTTGTGAATAGATTCCTATAGATAACAACTAGTGAAGTCAGTGTGAATATAGCTGCTTCCCTTCAATTAATTTGTAAGTGTGTGGTATGTACATCTGCGTTGATTTGTACCTGATTTGACGGGTTATTTAGTGCCTCAAACAACTTCACAGTTCTTAACATCTCAGACAATGCTGTCCCTCCCTTCGTCAGTGATAAGTGACCAGACAACTGATAGTCAAAACATACACATCGTTGTAGTATGGAATTCCGAGCAGTTCACAATCATCTAGGTGTTTCAATAACATTACAAACAAACAAATATGTAATCCTTAATCTCCTTGGTAATCTCATCGATGTTTATGAAGAAGGATGGTGAATACAGTTCGTGAGTTGATAAGTAAAGTCAGATATGCTATTTTGACGATGGAAACTAATTTTGTTTCAAACACTTGAAACTATGTCTCATCCGAAGATAAACATCTCGTTACGAATAACATGCTACTGAGTACTGCTTTCAGTATCCCATCAAGTGTGGTCGCTATTGAGTAGGACACAATATCAGTTGAGTGGAAATGATAGTCTCAATTTGTTTCCATAGTTCAGAATCCATACAAAGTTTCAAGTAGTACTGATTTTCAACATTCAGAGGATAGCTGATGCCACCTGACTGACTGGAAATTACCTAGTTGCGTGATGTCCTCCTAATTTCCCAATAAAGTGTAGCTCTTATTCTCCATATTGAATGCTTTCTACTAGCTTCTATCTACACTCCACTAAATGAAACCGTTGAAATATGGGATATCTACAAGTCAACGTCATGCTACATTCCTGGAGAAAGCCTTCTTGAGTGCAGTACTACTAATGGCATAGATCAACCATGTCGAAATATATCTTCAAATTGCTAAACAATATAATTCCACTCTGCGTCAGACAAGTATAATAAAAGTAATACATGGTACGAATTTGTCTATGTAACACACAAATTCCTTTGTTGAATGATCGACTCAGTATTCCAGTACCGATGTTGACAGCCTGTGTGACACATAACCGCCAGTCAATATACACTAATGAGAGCGACAAATAAGTGTGAGGAATGCACGACAATTTACAGTGGAAATCTGCTTAAATTTCTTTCAGATTCAGAAGCTGCAATGAACAGATTAGTTGTTACTCAGGTGAGACATAATCAGACATATCTTCCAGGTCGTTAAGGTTATTTACGTGTTAGTGTCTTTTCTTCAGACAGTGTATTCAACCTAATAATGAAATGACTTTATTCTACTGAACAAAATATTCATGTTGCTACCCATTTCTGCAGACAATTCACACCAAAAAATGTATAACACAAATGAAATTAGAAATAATGTGAAATCAGTGGAGAAGAAAGCAAAGCAAATTGAACTTGTGACCGGAATTGACTTAGTGAATACTGAACACAAGGTATTCCACTTGCATAAATCTGTTTGTACATGCATGTTTCATGTTAGAGAAGTGGAATGGTGAGTGAATGATGTGAACCACGTGAATTGCACTGACTGAATGAAGTAGAAGAGACTCAATTATACTTGAGCTGACTTGTGCAGTATTCACGAGGCTCTTAACACACAAGTGATGAGTTGCCACTCTCTAATTATCTCAATGATCAAATGAAATTTCCAGAATGACACTACAAGTTGCAGAATGATATGAGATGCTTTCGACTAATTTCAGACGAAAACGAATTGTGCTTCATTGTAAGTAACGATTCAATTTTCGTTTGTCAAAGTATGAATAACGTTTCTCTAACCAAAGTCAATATATATATATATATATATACATATATATACGCGGATATACTAAGAGATGGTTTATGGGAATAAGTGGGAATGTTCACCCCAGATTAACACTGCATCACCACTCAAGTCCAATACGATAGTGTGATATATAGTGCTATGTCTGACGTTGGTTTCGCCAATAAACTTTGTCAACCAAACACTACCGTGAATGACAACCAGTATGTCTCGGTCTTCCTTAATCAACGTGTTCATAGAATTACAACCATATTGAAGTTTCACAATTTGCAGTAATCCCGTAGTGAGTCATCGAGTTGATGAGTGAGCGCAGGTGAATGTTTTTCGGGAGTTTGTAATACAGAAGACTTTGTTTATTTCATCACACAGTATAAATGCTTCACAGCTTGTATTGTTGAATCTGAATGTGAAAAACGAATCTCTCCCCAATTTAAGGTAAGCTATTGATGACGTGAGAAGAGTCCTTACATTAGGCGATATCTACCTATGTTCGTCTAATATCCTTACCTGAATCTTTTTTGATTAAGCTTATACATAAGATAACTGTTTCTAGATTAGCAGACTTTCAAAATTCGTCTAGTATTTTAAAAATCATAATCGATAGATAGTAAAGCGAAATTCTTCCTGTTGGTTAATAATCGGCTGTGTTTAACCATATGAATCGCATGTTTTGCCGCTCAATTTTTTGCGAAGACCATTACTCACTCCGATAAAATGTTTCTCTTAATCATCTGATAATTTTGGCTTTTATCACCTATCGAAACCATTTTGGAGTTTTATTACCTATAAGTATTAACCGTGTTTATTTCATTTAGCGGTGATACCTTAAAGGCTTTGCACACCCTTCTTCTACTTGAAATGGATCTTCCATTCCATATATATATATATATATATATATATATATATATATTCCGTCTATATGCATATCGACTGATTCCGTAACTGTATATTCTATATATTTCTTTGATAAACTTATTAGCAAAACAATAAGAAGATATAATTTATTTGAAACGTGTAATATATTTGCACAATGTATTCCGGACATTCTGATTAGAATATATATGTATGTGAAATATGTATGAAAAGTACGTGTTTGATGAGAATTTTTGAAATGCGTTGCACAAATATATCACACGTTTTAGATAAATATTATTATTATTATTGTAATATATTATTTGATATTATTGGCGGCATGCTTAAAATTTGGGCAACTGTAAACTTCTATTAATAATATTGCACTTAATTTTACTCCTTCAGATTGTTTAGTGAAATATGACCTCTAATAGTTTTGTATGATACGTCGGTAGTTCAGTGATAGAACACTGGTCAACCATGCATGCTGTCAGGGGTTCGATCCCCGGCTGACACACTCCATAACCTCGCTAGACCGATAGTAAGTCCGTTAAAAAGAGGGGAGGTTGGGCGTGAGGATAGCAAACCCACCCTGTAGAAAAAGAATAACACCACTGATACTGAAACTTCAAAGCTCTGGCTTGAAGCCCTATTTTCCACTAGGAATGCAAAGGAATAAAATAATAGTATTGTATAATCTGGCGGGTATTTAAAACATTCATAACCTGCTGGTTTGCAAGTTTCTACTAAACATGTGAAAAAGCATTATACTCGACGTTATCTTATCCCAGTGCATGAGATGACTGTTCCTGAGTGGTATCCTTAGTTCACAAAATATACTCTTGAACTTTCTATAATTGATATTCAACAAAATGTCGTCTTGTATTTCTCGAAAGAGACAAAGAAGAGATATCTTAATGGATTGGTTTGCAATTCAGGTCAGATACAACTGTTTCATGCGTCGGTGGCATAGCGGTTAGGATGCTCGCCGACCATGCACATGGTCCGGGGTTCGATCCCCGGCCGACGCATTCCTTTACTTCGTTAAGCCAGAACTGAAGTTGGTGAAGAGGAAAAGTTGGGCATGAGGCCAGCAACCCCATCCTGTAAAAATGAACACTGCTACAGAAACTTCAAGCCTCTAGCTTGAAGCCCTATGTTCCACTGGGAACGTGAAGGAATAAAAAAAAACTTTCACAGGATCTGCTCTCAATTTATCCTTTATTTGAAGATCCTAGATGAAGAGAAAATATCATGCGCTAAACTCCTCTGAAAATTCTGTACTTTATAATATAAACACTGTTCGGAGCGAAGCTGTTATGGTTGTTGTTACGTCTCTTCTTCTTCTTATGTTTTCGAAACGTCATTAAAAACACTATCGTTTAACTTTTCATTCATTAGAAAATACAAAATTTTTTTATTATGACGAATATATATTTTTGTCTTAGAAATCCTTACTTGAAACTTTACTGAACTGTATCACAAAAATGCCTGTGATATTGCATAAAATATTTTTATTTTTATTTTTTTTACAAATTAAAGGATAATTATTTCATGATGAGTAACAGGTGATTTTTTTTAGAGCAAAAGCAGTCCTACGCAAAAATTCTGTTGATCGATTTTCTAAGTGTTTTGGCAGTTGGACAATTAGCGAATTCTTCACTATTAAATTCTGATAGAAGGCAGTTTTTCGCCTCAGCCATACAAGATTTATGTTTTTTGCATAATTCTTTGAGATATTTCAAGTCTACACTATCATAGTGTTGTCCTAAAAGTAAACGGAAAATTCGAAAGCTTATCCTTTCTGGGTAATTTATATTATAAAAAACACAAACATTTAGGCTTAATTTCTACTCGTCTAAGGGTAATTTATGCAAAAGCTGCAGATTAAGAAATTAGGAATATGGCTTGTCAAATCGCTTAGATACAGAGTTATTGAAAAGAAATTAAGTCAGAATACAAAAATTCTGTCATTTCTATGTGTCCCTACACATATTTATGCGCTATCAGGATGTGTCTGTAAGTGAAAGCTGTTTAAAAATACCGCATTAGAAAGTGTCATGCAATAATTAGCTAGGAAGGATACTGTAACAGACAATGAAACTACGTAAAATTATAACAAGATAAACAACATTTGGGCTCCTATTTTGGATACTGTAGATTATTTCACAGGACCTCTAGGTTTTACATCAAACCGTTTTCAAATCTAAGTGTACAGTTAGAGTATTAAGTGTCTTTTATTTGTCTAAGTGCAAAATTTTACTACCTTAAGATAATGACATTGCGTCGGTGGCATAGCGGTTAGGACGCTCGCCGACCATGCACATGGTCCGGGGTTCGATCCCCGGCCAGAGACGCACTCCTTTACCTCGCTAAGCCAGGAATAATGCTGGTGGAGAGGAAAGGTTGGGAATGAGGCTAGCAACCCCATCCTGTAAAAATAAACACTGCTACAGAAACTTCAAGCCACTAGCTTGAAGCCCTATGTTCCACTGGGGAACGTGAAGGAAAAAAAAAGATAATGACATTGAAATATCTAAATAAAGGAGTTATCATTCGAGTGTTAATCTTCGTCAGATACCTCTGTTTTTCTATTTATTGAAAGTTAATAGCACATAATAATGCAATTTTACAGGGTAATTTTGAAAATAAATGTAAGTGTTACATCGTGATAACATACTCCTTGTCCATGTTCGTTTCAAAGTATATCCATCAATCATTATGATCACCGTTAAAAGGAGATTTGAAATTTGTTCTATAGACATAGGTTACCGTTAATATTGTAAAAGTTCAACTTAATACTCATTTTTTGTTATTGTTGTTGTGTAAGTCTTAGAGTTACATGTCGTTAATAGGTTCACAGTCAAAAATTCTAGAATCAACTAAACATTTATTAAGTTATAGATAAGATTTTATTTTGATAAATCACAGTGTTATACGGTAATATTAACTGATGACGTTTCGAGCACAAACTATTGCTCATAGTCATATCAAGTCTTGATATATACTGTATAATTGGATGGAGGATTTCATCATGAGCTGAAATCAGTTAGAGAACCACTGGAAAACCAGCTGGGAATACTTGACAGCTGTTTCGTCCTAGTTTGGGACTCTTCATCAGTACGCACTCATCGAGGTTCAAATCAAGGACTTTCTGGTTACAAGGCGAGCTCTATAACACTGTGTGATTTATCAAAATAAAATTTTATCTATAATAGAGTTATACTCAACCACAGTGCCGAAGTTTTATACTTATTTATTAAGTTATCCTGAGAATCAATCAAGATTCTGCATATTATAACAAGTCAAAAGATAAAATACTTTCTATATTTTGTTGTATTTATTATTAATATATAAACGTTCAATTTTGTCTACAATTAAGACTTACCAATACTAATTAAAGATGTAGAGAAACACATTTCTGATACTGATTGTAATTTCTGATTGCATAATGCAAGAGGATCAGCTATCCTAACACATTGGCATACGAAAAGCAATGAGATGATATACATCTGGAATAGAGATTATGCAAATGATGAGTTAACAATTGCAGAAATCAGCATTATCATTAAAGAAAATCCTTGTTCATTTAAACTTACAATTATAAACTTCATTTTAATCACAGTGTCCATTTGTTCACAGCGCGTAAATTATATCTAATTAGATTTAATAATACAGTTATATAAATAAATAGTATGAAGCTTTATATACTGGTGTTCTGCTCTGCTCATCTTCACATTATTATTGTCTTTGACCTAATAAGTTTATTTAACAAAAGCGTGAATAAACAAGTTATAATTCTGTATTGAAATATCTCTAATTTATTTAGCTTATTTCTCACATTTACTGTGCTATGGCTAAATCATTCTCATGGAATGCTGTTACATATATATGCTGGTTAACGTAAATGAACGTTACTTTTTTAAAGAAAACAACATTTTTCCGTTTAATCAGCTAATGTATGTATTCAAGTTTATTCCTTTATGAAATTTCTACTAAGATGGCGTGACTAATTTCAAGGTAGAATGAGTAATAAATAAACACTCCATCACGAGAAACATTTAACAAGAAGAAGTATTAAATTATAGTATTGAAAATACCAATTAAGATAAATACTGGAAATGTAACTCTCACTTTATTACCAGTCATCACACAATTTTAATATACACAGGTGACAGTTATGCTAAGAAAGTCAACTTACCAAGATGTTATTTCAAAACTCTATGCTCTCCTCTTTTCAAAATAATATCATAAGAAGGATAAATCCTATTTGGAAGGATGAAAATAGAAAGTTGAAATCTGTAATAAATTGTGCGTCTTACTGTATTGAGTGAGTGTATGCGTATATATATATATATATGCATATATATATATATCCATATTCTGCCAGCAGTAACTAATCGAAGAAGACATTGCGAAATAGTCGCGCTATCTCGTGAATTGACAGATGTTAAAATTCATGGACTGGCCATTGATTTGGGTCCCAATAGCTCAATGGTCTATGAGCTCGCTGGCCTTGTAACCAGAAGGTCCTGGGTTCGAACCCCGTTGGGTGCATACTGTGAAGAGTCCCAAACTAGGACGAAACAGCTGTCCAGTACTCCCAGGTTTCCCACTGGTTCTCTAACTGATATCAGCTCATAATGAAATCCTCCATCCAATATATATATATATATATATGTATGTATATATATATATAGTCAGAGTATTTATGAAATAAAACTTTTATCTGAGTGGTTGATAATTTCACTTGTGTAATAATGATAATAATAATCTACTTTATTCCCAAAACAGTGCTTATAATACAGAATGGAATTCTCAGCATTTGTCACAATATTGCATCTGATTTACTTAGAATATAAATAAAATTTAAAATTAAAACAAAAGTAACCAGAGGAATTTGTCCACGTTTACGATATAAAGTCAAAAGTATTCGAAGCACGAATTGAGATTGTTAAATGTAATAATAATAATAATAATAATAATAATAATAATAATAATAATAATAACAGTGAGTTTGTTTCAAACAGTATTGTCGATTCAGTTTGGAAACTTTAGCATGTTATAGATTATTGGATCTAATGTTCTGTTGATGTAGTATAGTGAGGGGAAATACAAAATTAACAGTTATAACACAGCTTAAATTATGCTCACATTTATGAAAAAAATAAACAAAACCAAAAAGTTGAGAGGATTATAAATATAAAAAATACAATAACAATAAAGTTTGATACTGCAGTGGTGGAGGAAATGGTTTATTTAGTAGTACAAAGAACGCTAGTTAATTCATGCCTGACACTATTTTCATCACATAAAATACGTGCTAAATATGGTATAGTGGAATTTTTATACTTAGACGTACGTGCATAAATTCTTCTGAAAAGACTTCTTGTTTTACCTGAGGAGACACAAGGTTGGAGCTGCGGGTAAAGTGGATGCTCAGAGTCTGACAAAATTCCTTTAGCGAATTTTTTTCAATGACATCAAGTGCCTATGAGTGACAATGTCAACGATATGGCCCAATGGGATACCACTCGTCCTACTGACAGTCTTCAGAGTTCTACGAAGTATGACATAGTCTTTCTTAAGCAATCCAGGAAACAACAAGGGTGAACAGTAAAGAAGAATAGGTAAAATACACGAGTTGACAAACTCTAAGAGGAGTGCCTCAACTTCTTAATGTAAAAAGTCAGACGAAATATTCATTTAGAAATCGCTAAGACTTGGGAAGACCAGGATAGGTCAGAAGAAAGAATTAATCCAAGATACTCAACTCATCAATTTTGCAAGGGTCATAGGAACCAACGGCTTCATTTAACTTTCGTTTACATCGGAAACTGAAATTAACAGTCTGACATTTGGAAGGATTAAGTTTAAGGCCGTTAGACGAAGACCATTTGCTAATTCCTGATAGAAAGCTGGGAGTTAACAGACATTGAAATAGTTAGATCATCGGTATACTCAACAAAGTTCATTTCATCAGAGTGAGGCAAATCATGTAAAAGGAAAGAAAACAGAAAAGGAGAAAGGACAGCGCCTTGAGGGACATCAGCCACAGTAAGCAATGAAGTGGACGACTTTCCCTGACATACAGTGTACTGCTTTCTTCCTGAGAAATAAGAATTCAGCCATTTGACAACCGAACAGTCAGTTTGAGTTTCAGCAAGCTTGTTTAACGAAATCTCCCTAGGTACTGAGTCGAAAGCAGATGTGTAATCTAGGAAGGTGCGGCGAACAAATTTAGCCCCCTTGTCAAAGCTGGAGACAATGTTATGATACAAGACTGCAACTGCATCTAAAGTACTTCTACTGTGTTTATAGGCGAATTGTTTGTGATCGTTAAAGGCTTTAAGTGAAGGCTGAAGATTAAGTAAGAGTAACTTTTCCATAGCTTTTAGAAAAGGGGAGGTATTAGCAATAAGTCTAAATTTAAAACATGTTCCAGTAGACGAATCAGGTATAGGTACAACTTTAATGTCCTTCCAAACTGCCGGCACTACATTTCTGGATATTTCTGGCTCGACAGTTCTCAGTAAAATAAGTTAGAGACTAAATATTGTAAGCAAGTAACATCTTTCTTGTCAGAGATACAGTTTCACTGAGAAATGTACTTTGAGCATTGATTTAACCAAAGAACCACTTGGTTTTGAGAGTTACTGTGATGTGATGTGTGTGTGTTAAGTTTTCTTCGGTATCATATTTCTGCCAGTTAGTGTAATCCACAGGGAAGTCATAAATATGTTGAAAATCACTTTTAAGAGCTGCTAATATTGATAGAGAAGTATCGATTACTGCATAACATTCATTTCATATGGCCTTATGATCAAGTAGAGAATGTCAACCTTATTTACAATCGATGGATATCAAAAGAAGGGAATTCAAGAGTAAAACTAAGCCTTTAAGCTTTTTATTTCCTCAATGCGCAATTAATTTTCATTACACATTTGAGATTACAATTTGCTAAAGTTTCAATTATTGCCAAAAAGAATATTTCTGATAAGACAACAAAGTTATTTAACAACAGTGTAGGTTTGTTGTCGAATAATAAAGCAAATTAACATCGTTCTTCAATTTTAGCAAACGTTTGCCTACTGTTGATCGAGTAACACATTCGTTATTCTGACAAACACTCCTGATGACAGTGGAGTTTATACCTAATATATGACAGAATACCTCTGCTATTATGTGTGATTAACAATGACCTTTCAAACATACCGGATAATTAAGTTAAATTTTCTAAAGAACCCATAACACTTACTGAAATAGTGAAACTAAAGTAGTACTGTACAGCTGTTACGTTACAGACTAAGTTTTCACTGTGAATATTAATCTCATGATCAGCTGGGCTGACTTTATTAAAGTATGGTGCTTGGCTCGGAAACACAATTGTAACAACAGAAGACAAGGGCCAGGCAACAGAACGTTTATTACGGAAAATCAACACGTATTTATAGATTTTGATATACATTATTGTAGGTTAATGTTAGTAGAAAATACAGTCTGTTGATTGGTTGTTTCTCGCACAAAGTTAACCTTGCATCTCTTGTGGCTGTTTCAGTTCATCTATATGTTAACTGAATCCGCCTGTCCATCTTGACCTTTGACCTCAATTACTGTCAACCAATTTGGTTAGCAACCATCTATCACCACACAATGAGACAAGTACTTTCAAATTTTCATTCAGTTATAATCTGCTGATTCAAATCCTGCTTCTAACCAGATTTTCGGTTTACCTCCAATAACTGACTATTAAGTCAAAAATGATCTGACAATGCAGAGATAATCCAACTATAAGTTGGCATTCTTTTCCTTTCCTTCGACTAGAGTATGATAAAAATTGACACTAAAGAATTAGCTGGAGAACTATTGAGTTTCTGAACGAATTGTCACAAATCAAACGTCCACACAGTAGTTAGGCATTATTTATTATATCAAGGACTCACAGTTTAACTAGTAAAGTAATCCGGAAGAAGCTGATTCGCAACAAGAATCAAGTTGGCCTTCAAAAGCGTCAGTCTTACACAAACAGGAGAAAAATAGTGAATCCAGCTCACAAACAAAAGTTTACAAACAGAAACGCTGATATCATTCAAGATTTCAGTCTTCTTTATTGTGTATACACTTCCCAAGCCAGAAATCCAATGGACAATGTCCACATATGAAATGGTGTAAATACCTCATTCTTCACAGTTCGGATAACATTCACGTAGCATAAGGACTGGCATAATAGTTGTTCTGAAGTAACGCTTTCAAAATAACTCTTCATTCCGCGCTATAACTATGTGGGAAATGAAACACCTGAAACTTGGAATAATTTACAAAAGGCGACAATGCATGAAGGAAATTGGTGAATGGTGACCAGCAGTAGAATTCAGAATGAGCATTTCCTCCTATTTGGGACTCGTCAACTAGATATACCTGCATTCCTCAGTCAGTGGGTGATAGTGTTCCCACTGAGGCTCGAACCCACCACTCATAGTTTCAAACGTCGAAGCGTTATCCACTAAACCACTTGGACCACCATCACTCACTGAGGAATGCAGGCACGTCCTCCCCAACGAAATGCACTTCCCGGATTCCACTGATAGTCATCATCCACCAATTTACTTCAAGTTAAACAATCAGACATCGT